ATAAAATAGTTTAACTTATCTTGAAATATGTATTAGTTTTAAGTCACCTATGTTCTTACTTGTAAAGCTGCTTTTGGCTTATCTAGTCACACTGTTCAACATTTGGGTAGAGTGAATGAGAGCAATCCAAATACTGAATTTATCTTACATGGTTCAGGTTGGCATTTACTTTTCCCATTCAACAAGACATACATAAACTTTGATCCTGTGTAGCCAGGATTGTTATGGTCTACAAAAAGATTCATCTGCATACACATTCCTTCCATTGCATAACTTGCCACAGAGTAGCACTATCAAAAAAAAGAAAAGAAAGAAAAAGGAAAAAAAAAAAACAAAAAAAAAGAAACAAAAAAGCAGTAACAATACATACCAGTTAGCTTAGTTTCAAAGCATGAAATTTAAGTCTACGTTACTTGGCATTCAGAAGTGCTTTACAAATGGCAACTGTAATCACTCTAAGCAAATAAGAATGAACTGTACCCCAAAAAAAAAAAAAAAAAAAAAGAGTCGTGTTCGAATATCAAGCCCATAGCAGCAAATTTCATGAGAAAGGACTCAGATTTCAACTCACTCGTCCCCAATTTGTACTTCTTCTAAGTACTACAGCTTCAGCCTTTATGGATTTTTTTTTCCTTCAGCAGAAGTTCCCTTCAGACTTTCAAATTGGCACGTAAGAGCTGACCACAGAAAGAAACTTGAAATACAGGCTTATAAACTAAATAAGCCACTTTTCTAATCTCAACTCCAAAAAAGACTTACTTCTACTACTCTGTGACACATTCTAAATTTTGGCCTAAATTTTTCTCACGCTGGACTTTAATTTACACTACTGTAAGCTTTAAACATGTGCTCCAGAAGAACAAGTTAAATCAATATTTCTCAAGATTTCTTTCAGATCACAGGGCTTACAGATTTGTTATATGAAAGACTATTCAGTGCTATCAAAAGTAATATTACACAATAGAAAAACTATTTACCAGTGAARACAGTAAGCTGTATACTTCGTATCACATTACAAGTTTCACAACTGAGCAACTGGTTCGCTCAACTAGAATGTGGAAAGCAGGCTGAACCAGAAATGACATCCAATTAAACACTGAGTTTGTTTTTAAATAGTAGTAAGCCAAAAAAGAATTTTTGTGAAGTTTTAGACCTTTTTTAAAAAAGGTCTTTTTTAAAAGGCCACAGATTTTCTAAATTTAAGTGAAATTAATAAAACAGCTAGAAAGTGTACAGTTATCAAAAAAGTCTATTTTATCGATCTTACTTTCAGAGATTCTCTATGATGCAAGAAAAATGTTAGGATTTGTATCTATTCTTCATCCCATTTTGTATCTATTCTTCATCCCATACTCACCACCAAGCTTTAACAATATTCAATTTCACTCCTATTTGCTTGTCAATGACTTTTTAAAAAAATAAACTATAACACTGAAAACCAGACATTTGTATTTTGATCTATATTAAAACCTTYGCAGTAATAGAATGATGTACTATAAGAAATTAAAATATTGCAAAAGACTTTTAAAACCTTCAATATACATTTTATTTTACAAACATGTTACAGCTAATATTTTCAGCTTCTTTTAATAACTTCTTTCCTGCACAATAATTTGTCAAAATATGTTAGTAATTAACAACTGGGTAAGGTTAATACTATTTTTTTTTCCATGCTACTAAAAACTATGGAAGTTCYGTAGATATGAGGCCTGTGGCCAGCAGATGCGAGATGTCTATCATGGAATCATCTCAGCAAAATGTTAGTGGTATTCCTTCTATATCCCTATTCACAACAGAAGTCTTCTCCATAGTGGCTTTTTTTCCCCTCCTTCTTCAGATGAGTTAAAAGACAAAGGTATGTTAGAGATGAGAAGAAAATAATTAGCTTTCTCATCCCCTCCTCGATCACAGCCTCTTTTGCTAAAGCAAAAAGGCATTTCTAATACCACATCTCTATCTCAACATAAATTTCAGATCATCTTAACACTCCCTGGGCTGACCCCTTGTTGCTTAGCAGAAACAAAAAAAAAAAAAAAAAAACTTTACATTTGTTTTTTGGTTACCTTGTTTGGTTTCTTTCTTGTATTTTGCCACAACTTGGAAGAGCAAAGATTCAATGGAGGCCCAACACTTCTGACAGCAGGAAAGTATTTAGTGTCTGATGTTTAGATTACAAGATGTTAGCAGCTGCAGGAGTTTACTGTGCCAAAGTTACGGCATCTAAAATTCACTGCAGCTTAAATAAATGTTTTTCATGTATATTAAAACTTACTTCTCAGAATTAATGCTTTTAATGTAATTTCTGGTTTCATCAACTTCACGCAAAGTTTTATCCTCCAAACTGCAGAGCCGTTGGGCAAAGATCTCCAAAAATACTAACAGCTAATAAAGAATTCCTTACCACGCTGATTGTGTTAAAACTGAATGTGCATTAGTTAAGTTCCAGAGACTCATTAGAAATGCTATAACAAGACTGAATAATGTTAAAAATCAGATTTTGAAAGACATCTTATGAGTATCTATCCTTATAGTAAAAGAATAATTCTCAGAATGTTCAAAGCATTCTGAACAACTGCTGAGAAGTCGTGTCTGTTGAGCGGATACAGAACGCGGAAGGCAAGAACCACCAAATATTCGGGCACTGACACTGTGATATTACTTCTGAAACGCAAAGTCTGTCAAAAATGTATGTAACACTTCCTTACAGGAACAACAGAGTAATTCCTGAGTTAGGAAAACTACATAAAAGGGTACATCTTTTGCACAGCAAATGGCAATGGACTATAATCTACAGAGAAAAATAGATTTCCCAATACTCCTCAAAAAACACATTTGAGGACTACACAAGATACAAAAGCAACAGAGTACAGTTTTACTTACCAACAGGTAGTGCTTTTGTGCCCAGTGTGCTCAAAGGAGTACAGTTTCTGCAGAATATTGCACTTCAAAGCACATAACTAGCTAACCATAGCAAGTAACCATTAGTTAGTCAGCAAGAGGGAAGTAACAGCCATTTTCAAGAATCTTATGCATTCATCCCTCCAAAAAAGCRGGAGCCTACAGCACATGTCTGCATTTACCCAAATGGGACCGAGTGTTCAAGGAAGCACACCCTGATTTCCGCTCAAGGCCAAACCAGAGACAAGAGCAAAAAGATTATAAAAAAAGAAAAAAGTAAGCAAGTCGGGATGAGGAGACCCTGGCAAGGCTCAGCCCGACGCACAGGCCACAGGCAGCAGAGGGTCCCTTGCGCTCTCGGGGCTGCGGCTCTCACCGGTGTCTGGGCCTCAGCACAGCCCTTCCTGGCCCGCAGGCCCGGCGCCGATGAGAGCGGGCGGCTGGGCCCGCGGACAGGCCCGGGCCTCGCGCTGCCCAGGTCGCCGGGGCTTGGGGGACCCTGCGCTGCCGCCCCCCGCGCCCCGGGCCGCGCCAGGCCCGGCCCCTCCCGGCGCGGCTGCACCGCTCCCCGGCCGCGGCCTAAAAAATGGCGGAGGGAACGCGCTCCCCGGCACCTTCCCCCCGCGCCGGCCCCGCCAGCGCCCGGCCGCGCTCACCGTTCAGCTGCCCGCCCGCACGCCGACTCCGCGCCCCGGCGCCTCGCCGCCCGCCTCGTCCCCGCCGGCCCCGGAAGCCGCCGCCGCTGCCTCCTCACGAGCCCCCGCCGCGGCCCGCCGCCATCTTCCTTCCCCCACCAGCGACCGGGGCGACGCACGCGCCTACGTCACCACGCTGCCTGGCGCCAGGGGCAGACCCCGCCCCGTCAGGGGCCGCGCGGCGGGAAGTGCGCAGGCGCAGCGGGGAGGGGGCGCTCACCTCACCCTGCGAGGCGCTCTGCGCGTGCGCGGCCGGAAGCTGCGCTCGCCCCCGCACCGCCCGCCGCACGCCGGTGGAGGGGAGGTGCGGAGTGGCGCGCGCATGCGCGCTGCGGGCGGCGGGAAGCACCTCCCGCTGAGGGCGGGGCGGAGAGGCGCGCGCATGCGCRCTGGGGGCGGCGGGAAGCGCCTCCCGCTGAGGGCGGTTGGGCAACGCGCGCATGCGCGCTGGGGGCGGCGGGAAGCACCTCCCGCTGAGGGCGGTGGGGCAACGCGCGCATGCGCGCTGGGGGCGGCGGGAAGCGCCTCCCGCTGAGGGCGGTGCGGGGCAACGCGCGCATGCGCGCTGGGAGCGGCGGGAAGCGCCTCCCGCTGAGGGCGGCGCGGGGCGACGCGCGGCCCCTCGCGCCCGTCCCCGGGTCAAGCGCCGCGCGGCCGCCCCGCCGCTGACACCAGCTGCCGCTCAGCGCCGCGCAAACCTCCCGCGGCCGGCTCGCGCCTGCCACACTCATCCTCTGGAGCCCTTCTTAACGGGAAAACCTCTATTTCATGGTCTAGGCAATAACATCTCTCTAAGGTCTGCACAGAAATATTTTACAGGGCAGATGAACATAAGCTATACTGAGAGCTACCAGAAACCATACCGAATATGGTTTCCATATATGAATTTCCGAATATGAAAAGGGGCCACTGAGCTTGTAAAATGGGATTCACTATGTTGTGTGCTTCTGTTTCCTTGTGCTACAATTACTGTTCTCCAGTTCGTGCTACCACCATCAGACAGGCCTGGCTTCTTGGCTTCYGGGAGCCGTAGCGAGGCCGAGGGGCAGCAAGGAGCGCTCCTCGCCTCAGCTCAGCCTGCCGTGACCGAAGGGCTTAATATTCCCGCACGTGGTAGCAATGTTAAGTTTTAAAGCAGAGCTGGTGTAACATGTATGTGAAACTTTCTGCTGATCATTTGCCAAGTGATGCACTGACTTGACACCTGTCTTCCTGTTTGTCCCAGCTGCTCTTTACCACATTTTTTTGTGTTCTTCTGCATAACAGTTTTATCAAGAAGGTTTCATCAAACCACAACATTCATATTACATTTACAAAACACAGAACATTAATTATAAACATCTTTTAATTTACAATAAACAATGATACAAAATTATTTAAGTGGTAAAAATCCACTGTATCAAACAATGAAAAAAACATAAATCTTAATCCTGAATCTCCCACCACTAAGCCTTCCAACAGTTCGTCATAAGAGGCTTCTCCCCCTAAAACTCAGTAGTTAACAAAAAATAATTCACAGCTACAATTCCACATAAAACCAGAAGGATGTTGAAGATTCCCAAATCAGGGAGAGGGAGATGGAAGAAACCAATACAGGGGCTGTGAGAAAAGACATTTCAGGCTTACTGGTTCTCACCGTACAGGAGTCTTTACCAATATTATATGTGTAACAAAGCAAAAGGACTAAGCTGATTTCCAGCTTGAATGCAGCTGTGTATGAATGACACCAAACCAGAGAACTCTGCAGCCTGGGAGTTACTGGACTGGTCCAGAGTGCAAGAAACATGAGCCACTCTCTCTTTTTTGGGTTCATCCGAAGGGGCTGAGCGCTACGCCTAATACTGGAAGCTGCGTTTCGTCTGAATATCGTCGAGAATCTGCTGCAGCTCCTCATCTTCAAACCGGCCTTCCAGGCTGCAAGACAAGACCAATGAGGGTGCACCAAAGGTTTCAGAAATACTTGCCCCCCTCCAAATAATTCCCAGTATCTGTAATTTCCTCCTGTGAGTCTCAACATCATCATTTCCCATCTTTACGGCACCATGAGGCACCTGGTATAACATCACTGTCCAGATACCACGCTCAGTCCTACGCCATGTCTCCTTTCTAAACTGCAATACACTACCCTTCCTATATCTTTTTGCTGAACAATTTCAAATCATTATATCAAAGGCAGGTGCAAGTTTAAATAAATCTTCGAAGGAAGTCCACATAGCCTTACACTCATAAATCAGTGCAGCTGCCTATGAAATCCCATCATATAAGGGAGAAACAGTAATTCAGACTAGTGTTTCACTTCTTTGTGTATGTCAAGCTATAAGCCAGCAAATCAAGATGTGATAATGGAAGAAATCACTGTTAAACTTGTACATTATCCATAGAACAGTCCATAACAGYAGTGCTATTCATTTCAAGGAAACAAAAAATAGCCAGGTTTAATTCCCCACTAACACTGTCTATATTTAATCCAGTCAGCTTTATCTTCAGTATATTACAGGCATTTAAAAGATTGCCCCACCAAGAGATCTATGGGGAGGTGGAGATGGAGACAAAAAGGTTTTCAATTAACAAAGATGGACCAAAGAGAAGCAATCTGTCCATAGCTAATTTTAGACCACAACAAACTATAAAACCAACTCCTCGGCGTACATAAACACTCACCTAGGAATCAAGGCYTTGGCTTCTTCGGCTGTCTCAGGACACAGGTTAGCCAAACACGCCAGTTCAAATTTATGGAGCTTTTTCTGGAGCAGCAAACTGTAGGTAAAGACATCAAGATGTGAAATTATAAGTAASATAAAAAAAAGGAAGATAAAAGGGCCTAGTGGAATACAGAAAAAAATATCATAGCCAATAACCTCCATCACACATTTTTTTCTGTATGTAGTCTAGAAAAATATTTTCATTTATTCCAACATATTGTCCGTTAAATATTGATATCAAAGCCTGACCTTAGACCATGTCAAGTCATCCACATAAAACTAAGTCCAAGTCACTTGCATCCTCAGAAAGACACGTTTCAGGGTTCTACAAGTCCAAACCAGAAAAACTCCCACCAAGCTGTACTTTCCAAAACGAGCACCACCACCGCACGCCAACRGCCCCAGTATGATCTGACATCAGGCACCTGCGCACGCTGGCGATGGTTTCGCGGTTTTTGAAGCGGCTGAAGCGGGCCGTGTAGTTGAGCGTTTTCATGAACACCTCGGAGAGCTCCTGCTCATCTTCCGCGCTCTCGTTCTGCTGCTTGCGGTGCTCAAGAAGCATATGGACCTCCGAATTCAGGAGCGTTTCCGCACTTTCAAACTCTTCACGGGAGGGGAAACATGGTAGAGCATGGATGAAAAAGGCCATTTCTCAGTGCTTAGTTCACGAAGTTAGCTTTGGACTTTAAAAACAACAACCACGGGTTTCACTGTAGTTGTGCAAGGTCTTTATGTCAATGATTGGACTGCGTTTCATAATGAAAATAGAGATTAAAATTACAGCACTTTGAGTGACGTTCCACTGGATTCGTCCTTCTGGCCACGCGTTTTGCATGCACAGCCATTGCCACCAGATTTCTCACATTTTTGCATGTTCTCTTCAGTAACTTTTTGGCAGAACTTAATTTACTATTTCCTTGAGAGTAAATATTTAGAATTATAATACTCAGAAAAATTAGAAGTGACATCTATGTATTTGAAAGGCCTCCATGCAGTTCTTAGTTAAACATGGATGCTGTTGAACATTTTTTTAAAAAAGGGTTTCATTTACTTGAAATGTTAATTGACCTATTTAAATTATAAATAAAAATGTTTTAATTCATTTAAATAGATTTTTTTTCCTTTTTAGCAGCTCGACTCTCCCTGCTTTTRCTCACCATCATCACAATCATCACTGCATTTATTCCCATAATAATGTCTTTCTTTCAATACGTAGCTCTCCATAAGCTGTACGAGCTGCTGAAAGTAGCCAGATCAGGGGTGGCACTCCAAAGTGCTCTTCTTTACTCTTTTTTTCCTTTATTTTTATTTTTTTATTTTTTATTTTATTTATATTTATATTTATTTTATATTTTATATTTTTATTTTTATTTTATTTTTATTTTATATTTTTATTTTTATTTTTTTTTAATTAAAAAAAAAATGTCGAGCTTGGTCCCTGATAGAAAGAGACTTTATTTTATTTTGCAGGGAGCGGGACTGTCACGGGCTGGTCCGGGGAAGGATATTATCAGTTTTCCATCAGTTCCTCTGCTGCGCTCCCCTATCTTGACACCCAATTTTAAAGACCTCATGTTTGGTCCCTATATATTCTGAGAAGTTATTCTGAGCGCTTTAATTCTCCCTGCACATAGGAAGCAATCCCCTTGGGCACAGATGTGCCATTAAAAATATATATATAATAATAATGATTTAAAGAAGAATCTTTTAACCATAACCCAAAACAMAGCAGCACCTTCTATTCTTACATTCACCTTTAGTGAATCATGTAACTMAGAGAAATGCTACACTAACAGCTGCAGCTTCTGTAAACTGATATACATTTACCCAGGTATTGTAAATAAACATTTATGGACTCCCTACCCGCTACTTTTTTAGTGTTTGGGGATTTGTAACCAGAAGCGGGGAAATCTAGGGGCTGAGCAGGGCTGGGGTGACCCAGTCCCTGCCGCGGAGAAACGCCGCGGCTCCAACGGCCGCCGCGCGGCTCCAACGGCCGCCGCGCGGCTCCAACGGCCGCCGCGCGGCTCCAACGGCCGCCGCGCGGCTCCAACGGCCGCGGCCGCCCGGCCCGCGGCGCGGCGCGCACCTTTGGGGAAGACGAGCTGCGACGCGTCCTCCTCCACGTCGGCCGTGCGCGGGTCGCTGCCGCCCGCCGCCATGGCCTCCCGGCACCGGAACCGCGGCGGGCGGAAGGCGCCGAGCCCCGCGGAGCCCCGCGGGCCGCCAGGGGGAGCGGGCGAGGCGGCGCAGGCCGAGCGCAGCGGGGCAAAGCGCGGCCGCCGCTTGCGCGGGGTCTGTCTTGAGGGGTCTGCGACCCTGCTCAGGCTCAAAATGGTTGTAGCCCCCAGGTCGCGGGAACGCCGCCAGCAAAACAGCTCCTGGAGCAGTATTTCCCCGCGGAGACCTCGCGTGGAAGCACCTAGACAGCCTAAGAGTCTTAAAGTAATCGTCTTAGCAGCCCTCGCTGTGGCATCCTGCACCGACAAGGAAAACCAGAAATAATAGGCTGTGGGGGATTTACAGCGAGACCGACCTGCTGTCCTCGACCCCACAGCTGTGCCGTGCGAACGGCTTCCCGCGGGCGGGAAGAACCAGCACACGGAGAGCAAGCCCTAAGGACAGGCAGGACCAAGGCTTACGTCCTGAACCCGGGCTGACAGGATAGGCGAGCTCGGCGGAGCCACTGACTGAAAACCACGCTGCTGAGTGGTGCAAGCAGGAAGGCGTTCACGAAGCTGCAATAAAAATATCTAAGGCAACATCTGGCAAATCAAACTGCTTTGATTAGGTTCACAAGAAAAGAGGAAAATCCGTGCCAGCTTGACAAGAGCAGCTTTTGAAATAGCTTGGAATGGTGATGGCTTCCCAAATAACCCCTGTGCTCAGAGCACAGTGCCCAAACCATCGGCCACTTGTCACAGCTGCTTTTTTTCTTTTTTCTTCTTTTTTYCCYCCCCCAAATATCTTTCTGCTAAAGTATATGAAATGTTAAGTTTAAGAGAAATTAAGAGAAAGATGGACACCTGCAAGGCTTTAAAGGTACAGTGAAAGAGGATATTATAAAAGATAAAGATATCAAGATTCATTAACATAGATGTGTTTTCCTAAGGTCTGGAGCATTAGCTAAATAGTCCAAACAGGAACCAGCTKCTTCTCCATTTTTCTTTGCAGAATTCCAAATATGCATTTAAATGAAAAATACTTATTTGGTCACTTAAACAGACCAAACGTAACAGAGTGCCTGACTGTCCCCTTTTTAAATGCAGTGGCAGGKTCTTCTCTCGAAATGATCGTTTCAGTAGCATTTATGAATTGAATTGGAAAAGGTACATGGAAAAGGCTGATGCAATAAAGTGGGTGAAACTGGAATTTCCATGCATGTTCATTGGCTGGTCATAWCCTAAAATGGATATATTAAAAAAAATATACAATTTGACCAGATTAATTTATCATCAAAAGGGCCATTTCAATTACATACACTAGAGCAAAAGGCATTGTAATTTATTAGAGACAGGGTATTAGGGGATTATTGGTTAGCCTCACCATGGCAAATTCTGTGCTGGCAGCATCTGAAAAGGAACGCAGCAGCAACTGTACCAACATAGATCTTTACAAAAGCACCTGGTAAATGTCTCAGTGGGATGAAATGGAGGAGGAACTGATAGCAAGGGCTTTCCGATAACCGTATAGAGTACTCTGTAATGTACTATTTTATTTTTCTAATCCTGATAGGATTTCTGACTGAAAAAGCCCTGACTTCGCAAGCTCTTCAGCTTCCTAGCAGTAAGTRCTTTTGTGTGGAATACCCTTTCCCCTCCACCATTCTTTAAAAAGGCAAGAGTCTTCACAGATGAAAAGTAGTTAAGATATCAAAATCTCTTCTTTTTTGTCACCATTTGATAGGCATAGATCAACACGCTTATGGAAATAATGTCCCCTGCTCCAATCATTAATGTGTGTCATAACAACCATTACTGGACAAGATGCACATGTTTTTTTCATTGATGAGAAAGATTTCACCTTATTCCCCAAACAGCTATGAGAAACATAAAGAGGACACTACAGATAATCTTTATCCATTATGATTTATTCTCTACAATACTTCATTAGAGGATAGAGTTCAATTATTTACACTCAGAAGTTATTATATAGATAGGAGGCAACCAAGTGTAATACAAAGAATTGGTCTGACATCTCTGCACTGTAGGTCAAAAGAGGTCTCCTGCTTTAAGGAAATAAATTAACCAAAATAAAAATTAAAATGAACATGTAGGTTCCAGAATACAAACAGAAAACAGCACTAATAGTCAGTGAAGAATGCAGATGTTAATGTACTATGAAAACAAATTATCCTGTGCAAAGATTAAAAATGAACCCTTAGATTTTCTTACAGAATATTTTTGTTCTTATAAATTGTAGATATGTGATATTTTGATGATAAAACATTTCCAAACTGAAATGGCCTCAGTTGAGATTGACTGTTTAACATTATGAAGAAAAATTTCAGAACCTCACAGTGGAAACATTCCAACACTGACAGACTCCAGTGATCAAAGACATTCTCCTGTATTTACTGTAAAACAAAGACAATTCATAATTGCAGTGAGATTGTTTCTCAGCTGTGGTTGTCATGAGAATAAGCCCTTCTAGACCATAAGGCACTTGCTACTAAGGATGAGTTAAATCCATAGCAAACCAGSTGAGAACTGCTTGGGAAAGCGCAGTTCTAGCCCACCATCCCAGCCAAGTAACCACAGAGAAACTCCTAAATTGCATTGGGCACTGATTTTGGTTGCCTCCATCGTCAGGCAACTGAAAATGCATTTTGTTTCTAGTTTACTTTTCATCCTTATGCATAGCTGCCATGTAATGATCTAGAAATGGGATTATTTCTGAGACCCCCATGTCCCTGTCACACATTTTTCTGGGATGGCTTGACTAGTGACACGCGGCTCGATTGATCTTACAGCTGGACCCTTGCGGGACTAAAGCTGAGAGGGCCTCTTTCTCAGGCAGCAGAGCAGCGTTGCTGATCTGCTCGCTCCTCTTCTCACTGCAAGACGACAAGAACACGGTACATATTTAGAGGCATTTTTGTTTGTTTGTTTTTTTAGACAGACTGAGTGGGGAAATGGAAGCGGGAGGGGATAAGGCCTCCCCCGACCAAAGCCATCCAGCCCACTTCAGGCCTAAGCCAACCGGTCACTCAATCCTAAAATTCAGTTCTTTAAAAATGACAGCTAACCCCCCCTCCCCAGCCCACCCCTTAGTCATMCCCTATTCAAATAAATGAAAACACTATACATTGTTGAAGACACAGAACAGGGCAAACATTTGAAAAAGAAATAAAGGAGTTGAAAAGCCTGGCACTGTATGCCTGCATGACCAGTCTCACTGAGCGTGCTCAGGGGTGAAGTTTTAGCACCATTTTTTTTGCTTTTTTAAACCGTTTAGAAATTAAATTCTAACATAGAACACTTGAACAGTAATGAGTGTAGCCCTATGTATCATACTGTTTGACAGCTGAAAGGGGAGTGGGATGGCCAGACCTGCCCCCCACCCCATCGCTCCACGCACCTGGGAGAGTAATTACAAACCACGCAAGTTTGTAACAAGACCGATTTATTCTCAGCAGCAGGAAATCAYGAAACAATCCCTTCATCTGCAATTGCTTTCCAACAACATCCCAAGGGAAAAGTGGCAATTTKTAAGAGTGACCCAGTACGGGAGGAAAGCTGGGTCGATATTGCACAGTTATCCAGAAGGGGCCCCCTTCCTTTCCTCACGCAGGAGAGCAGGAGAGCCTCACCACCGTGCGGCACCACCGCGGGGTCCTGCCCCCTTCGCCAGCACCACCAGGAGCAGCAGCCAGCGCCTTTTGCTGCTCTGAGCTTTCTATCCGGGTTTCACCCCCTGCAATGCCAGGGGAAAACTCAGCAGAACTTCACGTTTCAACACCAGCCGGCTCTCAAAGCCATCATTACCACACACAAACTAACTTCAAATATATATATATATGCAAGTAGCCATTACTCGGTGCACTTGTATTTGCTTCCCTCATCCTTGCTTCAGATAATTGCAAAAAYCGAGTGTCATTTTCTAAATCCAGCGACCTCAGTGAGAATGTGTCATAATTTAGGTTTTATGACATCCCTCAGTGACTCTTAMGAATGACAACCAGATAACTGATATCATCATCTCAGAAGAGAGTATTTCTTGTAATCATCAATGACAGGAGAAGCAATACACAATGCACATGAATTTCATACACTCTAGGTCATACAAATTTCCCCCCCCTTTGCCTTGATAACAACCAAACAGTATAATAATTTATCAGCAACACTACCTAGCTTTATTCTATAGTCCTGCTGTAAACTGGAATACTGACAATTCTCCAGATCCATAGTCACCCAAGAGAAAGTGGCTGTCCTATAAAAAGGAAGGTCCCCGAGACTGCTTAAATTAAACAAGTTTCAGTCACTAGTCTCACTGGGATGACTACAGGCAATGCCCTGCAAATCCCTGCCCATCCCTAATCCAATTAGGCTCCGTTTCAAAAAGTCTGGACACAAAATTTAGGAGTAACAGAGCAGATTGTGCAGGGACACCCACGGACCTTYGCCTTCACGTAAAGAGCGTGTAACGTTTTGCTCTCTCACAGGCATAACAACACTGTTTTGTAGCAGCTTACATCACAAAGTACTGTCTAAAAAACCCACAAACTGTGAACCAAATGGAGTTCTAGAGAATCCAACCTGCAGTGGGATCTGCAAACTAAAACCTTCTGGGCTTTACTTAAATAATGGATTCATCTACCATACCGTCCAAAGGTTTTTCCACATCCTTCAGAGCTTTCTGTCGAGGAGGATGGGGTGCTATCTGGACGTTCAGCCCTCCCCATATCACCATGTCCGCCTGTGATGTGTGGCGACTGCAATCAGCTCTTGGTACACAACAAATACCAGAGGTTAAAAAAAATTAAAAAGAACCTAAAAAATGTTTTATTGGACTCCGTTGCCCAGGCTGCCAGGGGAATGCTCCTACTTGATCTGGGGGGCTTCCATAACAAACAACTCACGTTCCCAGCGTGTTGAAACACGCAAGAACAGCTCAATCTGAAGGGACACTTCCACTCCTGGAGGTCTTCTGCACCTCACGACAGTTCCTAGACACGGAGCCCCAATCCGACTGAACCCCCGCTCGGAGGGAAGGCTGAGATAAGGCTTGGGCCCCACGAGTCCTGTCATGCTCTTGTCTTCCCCCCAGGTCAGCTGGAAGGCAGGCTTGGCAACGGAAGCTAGCATCATAAAATGGTGCAGTAATAGAAGTAACTGGACCAGGAAGAGGAGGCGTCTGCCCCAATGATGTCGTAGCCGTTGGCAGCCACGGGCGGGTGGGACTGGTCATGCAGCCGTGTGTCAGGAGTAATGATTGTAGAGGGGGGGCGCATGGAGGGTGCCGTTCTGGAAGCAGTGCTGGCGGGAGGCCATGTACTCCGCGTAGCTGATTGTCACCTTCTCACTGCGGTACCTGCAGAACAGCGCCCGGATAAACAACGTCAACCGCCGATGCACATGCACAGAGCAGACCCCAAACCTCCATCCCCATCACCTTTTAGCTCACAGCCAATAACGGTAAAGCTGCACTCACTATCTGCAAAAATACTTTTGTTGCTACATCCCATGCACCAGTCTGGATAGATAAGCAGCCCAGAGAGATAACCTTTCTAAGCTTGAATTATTAGATGTGCTTCAGTGTCCCGAAAGCTGAGTCCTATTCAAGGCAACCATAATTAAGGTGCCTCCTGATGCGGCAGCTTGGGCACAAGGAAGCATCCTATCAGTCTGTGTTCTTTTTATCTGCTTGCTGTGAAAAAAAAGGTGAGAAATGTTTGCTGGAATAAGATGACTTAAAAGCTTCGGAGACCAAATAAGACCTATTTCAGTATTATTTACTTTTGTGCTGATCGTCCTATTTGAAAGGCTAACAAATGTTGGAGAACCAGGTAAAGGGAGGTTACCAAAGAGTGCATGTGGCTAGTTCATAATGTGCCCTCAGAATCCACAAAATGTCCTTCTGGGACACGAGAGACCAGGTAACATCAAAATGGTGGTGAGCTGTGCTAAGCCCGTGTGATACCAGGTCTTACTAAAAAACTTCATCCTGTCCTTTTCTGTTAAAAGGTTCTGCATTTCCACTTCATGCCTCCGCAGTAAGGAGCGGCCTGAAAAATCATGGTGTTCCTACACAAAAAGTATGTCCCAATTTTTACTGACATGAAAGGAGCTGCATCAGTAGGACAGCTGGATGTATGGAAAAGCAAGCAAATTCTGAAAAATCAGCCAACTTGGAGAATGGTTTGGGTTCAAGAGGGCTGTCACCTCCAAATAGCTACAGCATCTACACAGGAACAGAATGAGAAAAGCAAGTCCATTGTAAAAAGCAAGTCCGTTGTAAAGCTACAGAAGAATCAGCCTCGTCAATTTGCAAAGGTTCTCTTTCTTTTGATCTTTTACGTTGATGATTATATTAAAAACCAGTGACACATCTCCTAGAAAAGAATGCTCACATCGATCCGGTGCGGACTGAGCACAGCACCCATCATCCATGGCTACTATTTACCTGACATGACATTTGTAAGGTTGCCTTTCAGCCTACCTTTCTCACCTAAAAGAAGGGTAACAACTTACGCCAAACAGAAATAACTTATCTTAAAATCACTACAAAATAAAAATGTAAGTAACCAAAACATTAGCTAACCTGGTGAGTTTAATTGTTTTCCTAAAGTCATTGGTAATCGGAGCCTTAAAGCCACCTTTCCTGAGTAAGGAGTCTATGGTCTGGATCTGATCCCAGTCTGTTTAAAGAGAAAAACAAAGGAAATTTTCAATATAAAAATGCTGTTTGAAAAAAACAAAGCAGACACATAAAAGGCCTCTAGAAAAGCAAACTACATTAACAAGAAAACTTTGAGCTTTGTATATGTATATACCAAAGGTGAACCGGACACACATAGCCGTATGCATGCACCCTATCTGCACGTATCAACCCTCTCTAAGTCTTCTTGGCACATTTTCTGTATGACCTCTCTTCTTACAAAAAGTCTGCATTTCGCTTCTGTTGCAGGCACCCCAACCTGTTTGACCGCGTGGCACTCAAGTTTAGCTTTCTAAGCCTTAACATGAAATAATACTTAGCTCTTTACATAGACAAACTGGGATCAGCCTGATGCTCTAGTGATAGCACAGTGCACTGCTATGTGAGAGATCAGAGTTAAAATTCCTACCTTAGTCTTTTGCCCCAGAGCCAGGAGGATGCGACACTCCACTCTGCTAGGTGGAGGAAAGGAGGCAATATTTTGAGCAGTTACCATGGTCACCACTACTAATTTGAGTGGGAAGTGTGCTCCAGAGGGGCCCTGTCTCCTGCCCTCATCTGGAGGACGCTACTTTAGCAAGAATGAGGAGGAAAAGGACTCTCCTGTTGGTGCTGTGCAGCCTGCAGTTATCCTAGTTGGTGGGAGAAACATAGAAGAGGAAAGATGCAATGCTGAATGAAGCTGGAAGGTCCATATTTTGAGATCCTCTTATTTCTTAAGCCCTAGAACATGTTTACACTAAGATACAACTGCGCATGGACGTGGGATGAGAGGCAGGCCAGATGAACACCCAACAGCAGCTGTATCAGGTGTCAGTTATCCAGATTAAGCCTGGTGGCTCCATGGCATTACTAAGTGGAAAGCACTGCAATCCAAATCCAAAAATCCAGAGATTTACGGTACCCAGTTCTGTGACATAATGCACTGATACGTTTGGTTGCCATCTCAAACCCACCTTGTTCCTTAGCAACCTCAGGTAAATACGTGGCTGTGCGTTTGACACCCTTCTCATTGATGAACTCTATTCTGATCCCATGGATCCCAACCTAGAGATGGGAATGAACAGCCAGGTCAGAGGTGTTGCTGGCGCCGAGCGTGTCGCTCGTTTGCTGTTTCGCGGCTCCTCTGTCGCGCCGGTGGCCGCGGCTCCGGGCCGTCTCCCCGTCTCCATGCCAGGCTGGCTGGGCGAGCAGCCCTCCGGCAGCAGCGCCACGGAGCCGCCTGCTCCCCAGCCCGCCCAGCCGGCGCCCCGGCCGCTCCTGAGGCAAGCCGGGCACGCGCTCCCGGCAGGATGCCTTTCCTTCTCCTTCCCTGGCGCACCAGGGCGAGGATCTGTGCACAAGAGCCTACTGTGCWCAATTCTTCCTAAACTAACAGTGTGCTAAAACTCATCCACGCCTTAGGTCTAAACTACTACTTCTATGCCCAGTTTCTATTCACAGCAACAGCCTACTTGCCAGGCCTCTGTATCTAGCCTTATCCCCTGGTAGGCCATTAAATCCATTAAAAAAATCTTTCCCCTCTGCTCCTGCTCAGATCCCTGCCCTACTACGTTAGGGCATCATCATCATCTTCCTCCCTTCCAATGTCCCACCCCGGCTCCATCGATGCCCGGACACCCCTGTAACGAAGGAGACACATTACCATGTACTAACCCGAACCCAAACGAACGAGAGAGTGATGCAGAGTTCCAAGCGCACCGGTTCTCACCTCCCAGTCCAGGTAGTCATTGGCATCCTCAAAGTTAGTGAGGAGGGAGACAGAGCAGAAGAGTTTGGGCAGCTCCTCGCGGGTCAGGGGGGGAAATCGGCTGTCCTTAAGTGCACTGGAGGAAGAGAGGAGACGTTGCCCAACACCAAGCGCCACATCAGAACGCGAGGCGCTCGGTTACGCCCTGCGCTCGGGCCCCGCAGAGACAACAGGGCTTATTCCTGTGCTGATCTGTGCAACGTTTTCATCCTCGTTACAGCAGAGGAAGCGGCTTGCATCTATTCATGATCTAATGAACTGTAACATGCAAACAGCAGCACTTCATGTGGCTCACCAGGTGCTATGTGAGGTGTCACAGCTAGTAGCATGCGAGACAGATTTGACATTATCTTTAAAAAGTCAACCCAAATTCCCCTGCTGCAAAGTTGTTCCACTAAATCCCAAAATTGCTTCACCCTAACTACCACACAATTCTCAGTTTAATTTGTTGTGAACCATATTAAATTGAACCTATGTCAATCCAATAAAATCTCCCAACCTTGAATCTTTATAGATCTTCAGCAAATTGAGCTGATTTCAGATTTATTCCATTTCCAATGTAATTACCTGGTTAATGTGTATTCCCTGAGTCCTGAGTGAAGGTTCATGGCTGAAAAGGTCCCAATGCAGCCACGAAGCCGCTTGTCTCGCCCCGTCTTCCACGTCACAAAGAGTGGACTGGAAAGGCAAAGAAGACAGAGATACTCCAACCATGYAGACGTTCTTCCTGGCCAAGGCCGCAGGCGGACACACATTTCCTCTCTCTACTCCTCTCCAATAAGTCCCAGTGCGCAGTTTTTCTCACCCACAATCTAGCATAATGCCCTGCTGAATGCAATAAACCACCTCTCCCAACCTTTTCATCCGATTTCTTTCTCTACACCAGTTTCCACAACCTTCTCAGACAGACTCTGAGCTCTTTCCTGATGAGTAATGCAGTTACTAACCCCACAAATCACCCTTGGGGGTAATGGGCTCACATCCACTTGCGCATATGACAACCCATAGCGAAATTAACATAAGTGAAAGGAATTACGTTGCTTATACTAATGCATTTGAACCTAAAATGCCCAAACTATATTTCCCCAAATAATATCACCAAATCCCTATTGCAGTGCTTTGGTAATTTTTTTTTCCCTAACAAGTAAAAAGCAAAGCTAATTTTTGTTTTTGTTGTTTTAAAAACTCCCCTGAGCTATTTCCACAAGGATCTGCCTTTCAGGTGCATCCTTTCAGCTCATACATCCCCTTTCACTTACCTCACATGTGATTTATATTTACACAAATTCTCTCCTGTTGAATAGGCATCCAAACCACTATATCATTCCCATTCAAATATCCCATAGAAATTGTATCTTGCCCACTACTATCATGAATTTACAGATAAAGCAATAGATTCTCAAACACGAAAATAACAGCTGCTCAATTCAATCTGATAAGCCAAAAGCCATAAGTAAGCCCAAACCAGCAAGCTCAGAACAGCAGCATTCAAAGAGTTCTGTGAATAGGTAAAGAAACTGACTATTACGTGGAACACGTTCACTCCTACAGAAGTGAGTGAAATTAGAAACAGTCATAGAGAGAAAGAGTAAAGAAAGTGGTAGTTACAGACTTACAAGAATGTCCGAACATGTGGAAAACTGCACAAGGCAACTGATGATGCTGGTGTAATTATAAAAGCAGGGAAGCTGATCTTAYGTTGGCAAAGACAGCACTGAACACAGAAAGTGCTAGTACTAATCTCCCCGTCAACGAGGAAGCGGTCCAACCCCATGAGGCTGCCTGTCAGAGATTCTAAGACATGAGTCTAAAACAACCACTTCTCCCCCAGCCAAGGTGGGAGATTATGGATTTCTCATGGAACTTTAAAAGAAGGCGATACAAAAGAGTCTTGATAAAATCATTTTCTGAAAGTAAACATCGCCAAAAGTTTATTTCAGAATATTTAAGGTTGGAAGGGACCTCTGCAGATCATCTAGTCCAACCTTCCTGCTCAMGCAGGCACACCTAGAGCATGTGGCACAGGGTGGCATCCAGGCGGGTTTTGAAGACCTCCAGAGTAGGAGACTCCACAACCTCCCTGGGCAGCCTGTTCCACTGCTCTGTCAMCCTAACAGTAWAGAAGTTGCTCCTCACCTGGAGACGGAACTTCTTGTGCTTCAGCTTGTGGCCATTACCCCTCGTCCTATCGCTGGCCACCAGTGAGAACAGCCTGTCCCCTTCCTCCCTGCATTCTCCCTTCCTGAACTTATACATATTAATCATATCCCCTCTGAGCCGTCTCTTCTCCAGAGAAAACAGGCCCAGCTCRCTCAGCCTCTCTTCATACGAGAGATGTTAAATATGAAGACAGAAGTGCCGATTCTGTATCAGAGCACAGAAAGTTAGTCTGTGCAATTGTTGTGGAGTCCTGTAAGCAATGTATTTGGTTGCAATGAACATCACCCACAACAAACACTAAGTGGTTCTGGTAAGGCAAAAAATAAGAGGAAGGGCTGATTTCTCAAACACAGGCAGCGCGGCTGCTTATGCACAGGCAGTKAAGTTGTAGTGACATTATTTCAAGTGTAGCAACGAAGGAATGCCCCGTAACACTCCTCACAACAACAGTGGGACTGAGGAAGGGGATAGCTGGATAAATCCGTTAACAGAATCCAGTTACCATCAGTGACCGAGGCAGAACCACAGCCGATGCAAGGAGCAGCCCTCGGCGGACAAACGCGAAGAACCTGCGCACAGGGAAGCTAAAACGCTGCTTCACCAGCACCACCTGCACTGCCTCATGGCTTGCTGGCCTGGAAGGCAGAATTCACCTTCTGAGAGCTCTTCAAGGCACCCTCAGGGTATCTTTGCTCTAGAGCAGCATCCCGCTAACACATGTTGAAACAGAAGACAGCAACAAAGCACAGGAGAGATTCCCAAGCTTGCCAGAAAAAGAGACTAAACGTAAAAGAGCCATTTATGAGAAACAGGGCAGTCACAAGCCCACTGGAAATTTAGCTTAATCTGATTCCAGTTTGGGAAGCATTGCTTAGCCCGTTCATCCCAAACACAAAAGGGAAGCCAAGGGAAGGGAAAGCATCTCTGACAGAACACGACTCTCAAGTCAGTTCCTGCTCTTCTTGAATTCAGATTACAGGTTCATGCATCCAATTCACCTTTCCCCACCCCCCTTAAGTAAATGAATACATAAAAATTTCCACTGAGCTGTCACACAGCTATATGCATCTGTAAAAAAATATATAAGCAGAAGTGACAGGAAAACCACATTCTGAATGCCGATTTCASAGAGAGCACCTCTTTAAGATTTTTTCACTGTGGTCATAACAACCAAGGCATGAAAAAGTACAYAACTTTGTAGAGGCATCTAAAAGTTCAGCATTCCGAAGTTTTTCACTGTTGAAAGTGTGTTTCTTTCTGTATCTGAGGAATAAGTTAAGTTGGCAGCTTGCAGGTGCAGTTCACAATAACTAGTTGTTCCCAGCCCATCCTGTGAGAAGTCTGATTCCCCCAGGTACTGGGAAAAGTCACTGAAAACTTTTACCCATATTCATCCAAAAAGAGGTACTCACTCCAAAACACGTAGGCATTGGCGCAGAGGGAAATAAAGAAGAAGAGCTGGTTTTGTTATGGAGTGCTGACCTAGGAGACTTAAATCATCAGCACGGGATCACCCAATGGAGGCTTTTACACTTTTTGTGATCTGGGCATAAAATTTAAACAATTGAGATTCCAGAAAGAACTCCCTTTTCTACAGCCAGTTAGCTAAGCAACAAATGCTGGCTAGAAATGTCCACCCAGGCCAAAATATTGAAGCAATATAAATTTACACCCCTTACTGATTTAGGAATGGAATAAAACCGCTTTGTGTTTCAAGCAACAAAATGGTAGGTGGACTGATGTTCCTTTCCGAAAAGGAGGTGAACAAGATGAGGTGTGAAAAGCATCGGCTTGTTCCCACACTCGGGTGCGGGAGCCCCAGGCCTGGGCTGCACCCTGGCGCAGGGGGCATCTCCGTGCGCCCGTGCTGACAACGAGACCCACGTCGGGGCGGGAGGAGCGCGGGCAGCGCCGGGGACGCGGCCGCCCCGCGCACAACCCGCGGCCGGGGGACGCGGCCGCCCCGCGCACAACCCGCGGCCGCCGGTTCCACTCGCCGGCCGCTCCACGCGCACACCAAACCCGCAGCATCCCGAGCCTCTGCAAGTTGGTCTCTTTGCACCAACTCCAAAGCCACCAAGCTACAGACATGAACAGCTTCCTATTGGCTGTTGTCCTSGAGCTGGCCCCTCAGCAAGACTCGGGTCCCTCTGTCACTGATTTTCTCTGTGCAATTCTTCAACGTTTTAACAACATTATCACACTTAGACATTCAACCCTCAGAGAAGCATAACTACATCTCAGATCGAAATGCTCAGGTAACCTCTTCRTAAAGCCATCTCTCGGCTCCTTCTCACACAAACCTCCCCTGTTTTGAACCCCGACATTCTCCCCATGCGCTCCAGCTAGCCCTCTCCCCACAGGACAGCCTCCTTTTCAGGTTCACGTTTTCCCTCCCTGCTAAACCCGTTAMCTCGGGCTCCTGAAGACCCTTGTGAGCATCGTTGTCCAAGTCTCACTAGCTCGCTGCTTGTTTCAGCATTAGCCTTGAACCTCTTGTCACTTCTATTCCCACGTCTATTCCCTTCTGTGCCACAAGCTGAAGGAAGCCCCTTCCCTCAACCTTTCACAAAAATTGGTGCCTGCCATCAGAGGCTGATGCTTCTTCAAACTAGTTACATCATTTTATTGTTTCTGAAAACTTTCTCATTTCAGTCTCATTGACTCTTTCAAGCACAGGTTTATTAGGCGCAGTTAGCAAGAGCTTCCCACAAAGGCAGGGAGCTTCAGCAGAGCATTGACATGAGGCAGGTGTGTGCCCAGCACAGCCCTGCCCCACGGCAAGCGAGTGCCCTTGCACAGCACGGACAGAAGCACCAGCCTCCCCGGGGTACGGGCCAAGCTCTGCTGACTGCGGAGAGCTAAGTCCCTTCCCCATGTACCTGCCCTCCAAGCTCCGCACGCTTCCGTCATCCACCACCTCAGGACATTTCTACTCTTCCCTACGCTCTACGGATGCCTTTTTGTCTGTGATGCCCCTTCCCACTGCGTTTTCCAGTTCCCCGGAAAACCCCTTCCGTGTGCCGAAGCCAGATGCAGCTCCAGCTGCTGGCTCCCGGCTCTCCTCCCGCACGGGGATGGACTCACTAGGGGTCATTGGTGAATCGGGGCAGCCGTGGCTGGGGGAACCCATAGAGATGACAGTAGAGAACATCGAAGCAGTAGCAGCACATCTCCGCCGTCACCACCAGGTTCTTGGTGCCGTTGGCAGTTCCGTTGGGCCGGCTCAGCGGGCTCAGAGCTCCTGCCGTGGGGTTCATGCGCGTGACGGGGGAATTTCCCGGGCCCAAAGTCAAGTCGGAGGCGTTCTCCCGCGCGCCATTGCCGTCCGCGTGCTGGTGGTTCTGGAGCGGCCCCGCGCTGGAGGCGCCCGCCGCGGCGCCCGTGCCCCCATGGCCGCCGCTCGCAGACAGCTTGGGCTTCTTCACGCCGCAGCAGCCGGCCGCCAGCTTGGGCTCCAGCGGGGGGACACAGCGTCGCTTCCCCATCCTGACCGGAACGCGCTGCCGGGGCGCTGCACGACCCTGCCGGGGAGGGAGGCACAGACAGACAGCGACACGCRCGCGTCACACCAAGGGTCTCGAGGGGTGCCAGGGGCTGCAAGCCCGGCAGCCCCGGCCCTGCGCAGCCCCGGGCCCCTTCGGCAGGGGGGACCCCGCGAGAGGGAGCACCAGCCTGCTCGGAGGCTTCCCCAGCGCTCACGGAACGGGCAGCCGATCCCAGCGGGGGGAAACAGGGAGACGAGGAACCGTGTGGGCTCCCCCGGCCACCGCTGCCCGGAGCGCCGCGCTGCACCGCGCCGCA